AACGTAAACAACCCTTAGCCCGTTATTATAAGTTATGATACATAGGCTATGCTGCTTATTTATACTCATTATATCAGATTGAAACGAACTCTCGCGCAAATTGAACCCGCTTTTTAGGCTCTGACGAAGGAAAACGTAAGCCTATTAAAAAACTTCAACATTCAACAGATTTAACAGATTTATAGAAAGGCGAAGTTGGAAGATTATGACTAAACTTCTGTTCAATTTGCGCGAGAGTTCGTTTCAATCTGATATAATGAGTATAAATAAGCAGCATAGCCTATGTATGTTTTGCATAAGCAAATAATTTGAATACCAATCAAACTCCGAAAATAGAGCTGAATTCGTAAACGAAAATTGTATATTGACAGTGACTTCGGTTTTTTTTGAGAAGAGATTTTCTTTCAAAAGCGTAAACTCTCATAGACTTTTCTAGCTTAGGCCCGATTTACTGAATCAGATACTTTTGAGGTGAAGGTTTGATAAAAACGGGTAAGGGTCATCAAGCATTGAAACTTTGAAGTACTACTTTCCGTCTTTGGAGCCTTGACCATGCCTTACCTGATTAAATAATCAAGGTCATGACTCGATTCCGCAGCTTACCCATACGCGACTCCGCATAAAGCGACGACCGCATGAGCATGGCTTGAGCTCAAGAGCTGTTTGAGGAAGGTTACAGCAGTTTATCAATGACAAGCTGGCATGCCCGGCTTTGCGCGCACCTTTGGTTTGACCTGTTCAACAGAAACCAAAGCTGGTGCACAAGTTCAAAGGCTCTACTTATGTGCGCTTCAGCTTCCTTCGGATCTCGTATGGCACAACACAGGTACCCTACACACATTGTCTTGACTTACGCAACTCCCTTATCGTATTATGAGAATGAGGGTTACTGCTATTGTTTACGCGAAAGTTGAAGGTAGTTTGATGGTACTAGAAAAATCATTTTTTCTTTGAAATTGATAAAGCAATGGGAGGAATTTCACGGAACAAAAATATCTATAACAAACATACGAACTAGCAATTTCCCAGCACTCAGCTTTATATAGGTATAAATTATATTTTTGAAACAGTGGTATTTGAAAAAGCACTCCGTTGTTCTCCCTTTCAATGTGTGCCATTGAGCGGTACAGTACCCGTACAGGGATCCCTTAAATGAAGGAGACTGCAAATCGTAATGACGGTTGGGCCAGACTGCTTCAGTCACAGTGCGTTTCAGATTAGCGCGATCGTTCATAATTTTTCGAAAACGCACTAGGCGTAAGACCTACTAGATGCGACCGAGGTACGACCCCTTCAGTTTTTCTCGCCATGCATAAAATTATAAATCCGCAGATTACAAAGTAAGACCAAATTTTGCATAAATGTAGCAAAGCATCTCGAAAATGCAGATAAATTGTATGGACCCGTGAAAAATATTACAAAGAATTTTAAAAATCAGTGATGGTCATTGTCGGTAAAGATATTCGTTTTTGTCGAGTGTGTGAGACTTCAGAGAGGCTTCGGGAGCAAATTCTAGGCCAGTCCTTATAATTAGAATTTTTGACAAATCAAAAATCCCTTAAAGCATTTTGAGCTCTTAGAAAGGTCTTTTTTTGAATTAAAAAAAATTTTATCTTTATTTTTCCGATTTCTACTTTTTTATAAATTTATCGTAAAGAAACGTGTACTAATTTTCTGCTTTTTGATTTCCTTTTGAGCTTACGTTTTTAGCCAAACTACTTCCTCTTACAACCCCTTTCCGACCTTAGGTGCCCATTTTACGATCCCCCGTTGCAACAGTCGCATCATACGCCTGACCCTGTATGCAAGTAAGATCGAAAGAGTTTAGAAGAATTGTTGAAAAAACTCAAATTGTAATACCAAAAATTACATTTATATTTTATAGTTATTTATAAATAAATATAAAATTGACCTCTGGGCTGTTTAAACTTCCAAACAAATCATAGAGCTTTTTCTGAAATAATTACGAAAGGAACGGTACTACCAAAAAAAGAGCGAACACGATGCGTTCTCTGACACTATGAAGTGGCAGTCCGATTTGACGAGAGAGAGGAGCTCATCTATATCTTTGATTCTCAAAACATCTAGCAGGCGGGCGCTTAATAGTTTGCAGAGTTTTAAGCACGAAGAGTTTGATTACTAAAATTGTTTGAAACTATACACAGATCACCCTTTTGCAACCGCCATACTGCGCTGTGCCTTGGTAACTTACAGTAGATGAATGATGTGTAAGCCTTCATCTTACAAAACAACAAAAATTACATCTTAGATTTTGTCGAAACGGCGATACCTCATTATCATGTCTCAAACAATAAGGTTAGATACAGTGCTGGCCAAAATTATAGATCCACCCTTGCTAACTGCCATAGTTCATCTGCTTCTCAAGAATTGATTTGAAATTTGGTACAGTTGTGTGTTTAACAGGCTAATATTAGTAATCAGGACCGATCCCCGCTTTCTTTTGATGGTTCAGGAAAAAATCAAAATTAGAGAAAGCAGCCTTGAAAGCTGGCCAAAACATAGATCCACCTAAAGTTTCTGTCTCCCAAAGTAATTCTCGGCTTCCACAACTTTTGGTGCATATATATGTTCAAAAGTCAAAACACCCCATTTAGTTCAGCTGTGTCACATCTTTATCAAAAACTCTTATATGTTTTTTTCCACTTAAAAATACTTTCACGCGTATTTTGTCACCGATAGTGTGTTTTTAGAAGTGTTTCCGCAGTTTTTCCAACTGATTGGAAGCTATAGGACTCCATCTGTCTTATAGATGCTTAGCGAAGTGAGCATTGGAAAAAAATCTGAGTTTTCGTATCGTGAGCACACCCAACATAGACCTCACAGCAAGCCTGCACTCAAATTTTTGTATGCTTTAAATGATGTGGATACATTATTTATATAAAAAAAGATAGATTGTACACTTTGCTCACGATTGTTTGCGAAGTCGCACTTTGCTTCGTAAACAAGGCATAATTTTCGCGGTTCAACGATAATGTAAAGCAAAGAAATACTTATCAAGTGGTGCCTTTCCTAATTTTTCGCCACTATTAAGCTGCTAAATAATGAAAACACCCTGTATTGTATGTTCCCTTCTGACTCACATGAACATTATGATCAGAATCAAAAATAACTTCAAGGCTTGTGGCTCATCAATTTTTGCAGGACGAATTGCTCAATTAGCCTGCATGCTAGGACATGCAAAAATTTGCAATTACTGCATACGAACCCTCATATGTGCAAACAATGTCATTACTTCATTTCACGCTCATGAGAACATTGCAGCAAAAGTTTGAAGGCATAAATTTGAGCGCATACCTGCGGTTAGGTCTATGTCGGGTGCACTTTGGATACGAAAACTCGAGTTTTTTTCTACTGCTCACAATGCTAAGCATACATAAGATAGATGGAGCTCTATCACTTTCAAACCAGTCAAAAAAGTGCGGAATCCTTTATAAAAACATATTTTCTGGAACGAAATACGCACAGAAGTATTTTAAAGTGAAAGAAAGCAGATAAGCGTTTCTTATAAAGGTATGACACAGCTAAACTAAAGCCACTGCTTTGACTTTCGACTATGTATATGCACAAAAGACTTTGAAAGCCAATAATTATTTTAACAGATAGAAATTTTAGGTGGATCTATAGTTTTGGCCAACCTTTGAGCCTGCTTTTTTCAAAATTTTTGATTTTTTTCTGAATAATCTAACGAAAGCGGGATCCGCTTTGGTTACTGATGGAAGGGAAGCCGTTGAACACAAAGCTGTGCCAAATCTCAGATCAATTCGTTGAGAAGCAGATGAACTACGGCAGTTTTTAAAGTGGATCTATAGTTTTGGCCAGCACTGTATAGCAAAAAATGATTTCTTTGATTTTTAAAAGTTGGCAGTGAATGTGCTTCACACGCGGGATAACTCAACTTACTTTTGTATCCATCCAGAATACCCACGAGGCGATGTATCCAAAGTATAATCGCGTAGCAGTAAGTATATATATATATAAGTTTTCTTTACACACGCATGGGTCCCGCCTATGCAGAGTCCGTTTTACACGACAGGTAGTACCAGGTTTCTCTATCTAAAACAAGGGTGCTATGGATTGAACCCAGATCGTGTGCTTTTTGTGATCTGATCGTCAACAATCTGGAACAAGCACAGCACTTCTGCAGAGGCTCATGTTGTGCCACTATGTGCGCCAGGCCGCCGACTCGATATGAGGACCGTACTGCGCACCTCACTGCATCCCGTGTTATGGCTCTTTTCTTGCCATTCCCTCTTCAGGCAAGCCAAGATACTAGAAGCAGTCGAGGGAAGACGAAGTCTTAAGAAATGCTAAAGGGATTTTTGTGATCTTAAGAAATGCCGAAGGGATTTCTGTAAATATCACGTACCGCCGGCTGCACATTGAACGAAGACGGGACTCCGACTTTTTTCCGATACAAGATGGAATCTATCGCAAAGAACTTCTTTACCAACCTCTTCTGCTCATCAGTACCCGTGCCGATGCCCGTTTCCCACTGGAAAAGTACCACCACGAATTCTACCTGCTGAAATGCGCACGGCGATTCAGACTATGAAGACATCCACGGTTCCAGGACCAGACCATCTTTCCGTCGAATTTCTGCGAGCCGAAGGACGACGTCTACACGAGATTCTCGCGTCGCAACTGACATCTTACCTTCAGAAGGAAAGGATTCCCGACCAGTGGAGAACATCAAGAACCGTCCTTCTTTTTAAGAAGGGTGAACGGGAGGATCTTCGGAACTACCGTCCAATATGCCTGCTGAGTGTGCCGTACAAGCTTTTCACGAAGATTATCCTCGCTCGCATATCTAGGACACTGGATGAAGCCCAACCCCAAGAACAAGCTGGATTCCGCAAGGGATTCAGCTGCATGGACCATATCCAGACGGTTTTGAGAGTCATAGAAGTCTGTCGGGAGTACCGACTGCCTCTCGTCCTAACCTTCGTCGACTACGAGAAAGCCTTTGACAGCGTCGAAACCAACGCCATCCTGTTAGCGCTAGTCGATCAAGGAGTGGACTCACCAGCCTGAGCCGCGTTCGGGCCTCTGAAGGAAGCCATTGCAACTGACGGACCCGAAGCCTCGTGCTCACCTGTTCCATTCAACCGTTCTTCCGGCGCTCTGTTACGCAGCTGAGACTTGGGCCGACAGTGTAGCCACGTCGAAAGTTTTACGGACCACCCACAGAGCGCTCGAGCGCAGTCTTCTGAAGATGACTCACATCATGAGAACAGATCGCAGATGGACACTAAGAACATCTGAGTGGATTCTTCGCGAAGCCAAACGTCCCCGAGGAAGACCACCAACGAGATGGGCAGACGTGTTCGTGGAACGGAGGGACCAGCTGAGAAATCAGCTGGATACGGTTACCGCACCTGGAACTAGTGGATGCAGCCACCAACGGCAACCAAGAAGATCGGTCTGAAGCGAGGGCAGGGCCCGGCACCGATGGTTTGGGGTCAAACTGGACTTCGTTTTTGGAGTTAGAAGCAACGGGGACATCGTATGAGGTCCTGGAGGAAGCGCCAAAAAAAGCACACGAACATATCAGGTTTCACGAGTTCAACGTGTTCTTTCGCAAGCGCGCGAATTTCAAATGCAAGACTCAAACAAACAAATTGCTTGTTTACAGCGCACAAACAATCACATGGCTCCGAATTTGGACTGTGTGTATATAATATTACTCCAAACTATGTTATATAAAAAGTTCCCAAAACTTATGCGTCCTAATATCCGTTCTTGAATTTGTTGGTTTCTAGACCAACTACCAAACCAACTGGGTTGGTTCGGAGCATAAATATCGGAGAGTTCACATAAGTTTTGGACCTTTTTGATTTGGACGATTAGAACGGTCAAAAATCTATCATATAGTGAAAAGCGCGGGTCAAACCGTTGCCTCTCCCCTTTTTTGAGTCAAAAGTAGTATAACTCTACGCGTTGATAGATATCGCGCTCCAATCACTTGCGGTGTCCCTTGAAATATGTGGGGAAAAATGCATCGCAGGATTGTTGAGGCTACAGATTTGGTTGGCCTAGGAGATTCTCGACATTCCCAGCATCAAAATGGTACTATACCCAATGGCGGAGCCTTTAGTCGACTCGAAATGTTTTCTTTTTGCATTTTTGTTATATTACATACCTCAAAATGCGCTTTTTTCGCTTTTTTGTTGCTATTTTGGTTGAATAATGGTTTCCCTACTGATTTTCACGTCGAGAGGGACTTCGTAAATTTTCGAGAAGTTATGGGGGACTTCGTTTCCTAAAAACCTCCAAACCAACGCGTGCCGGGCCCTGAGCGAGGGACAGGTACAAGCGTCAACTTTGTGCTGGGGCACGCTACGTGAAGACGGGCCATCTTGTAAGTATCTAAGTAGGTATTACTAGGTTGCCACTAAGTTTTGCATCTTCTTCTACAATCTTTTCCTTTTCAGATGTACCCTCATTATTTGACAATATGACTGAATAGATCGATCGCATCAGATTGGAGGGGCATTCCTCGATATAAACACGAACATCATATTTCTCGTTGCCAACATTTACTATTAGGTTGTCCTAAAAGTAAACCGTGTTTCTAAATAAATAAAATTGTACTTGCTTTCCTGGCAGACTTGGAACACTATTCGATAGAGCGAAGCAAGCTCCACATAATGACCACCAAAAAACCGTCTAAGTCGCAATCCAGGTAAAATTTGGATCCAAAATAAATTTTTCAGCTGCCCTAAAATTCGGATCTTTCCCCAGAAGATTCCTAGTCTTCCAATTTGGTCCTTATATAGTAGACACATGGTGTAGAAAGGAGTTTTCTTTTTCCTCGCCTAGACTAGGACTTGTGCTTTACTTGCTCGTTGCCACGCGGGACTATAAGCTGTGGTTGGAAACGGGCTCACAAATAGGTTTATTGTTCAATTCTTTACATACAGCCTTCTTTCTTCCTGCTCACACTCCGAAGTTCTTCCTTCTTCGAAAGACTTGAGCTTGAACTTGATCTTGAGCTTGAGCTTGAGCTTGAGGTCCTTGAGGAACTTGAGGAGGCATGATCTTACGGCAGTGTGAGCTCTATTTATACAAATGAATATCAGATAAAAGTTGAATCTCAAAATATATTTCAAGCGAAAAGAAACATAGATGATATGATAAACGTTACAAAAGCAAAACAACGCGTACTTGAGAAATGTACGATTTCAAAGAACAAAATTAATTCAAATACATGAACAAATACTTGATACATCGGCTAAACAATCGACAAATATATCTTAATTATATACATTGATTATGGATCACTTGGTCGTCGTTGACGACACTCCCGGGGTGGCTAATGTTTCGTCCTGCGGCCATCTTTCAGAGCTCTTCTGGCATCAAGGATTCTTTGCTTCGCTCGTGCCTTCATGTCTGGTACGTTACAAAGGGCTCGATGGTGTGTGCTGCCGCGTGGGATGAGATCTTCGAAAATAGATCCCTTTAGACGCTTGCAGTACCAGCATTCTCTTCTGGCGTAGAGGCACTCTTTTTGTGGTGGACAGTTCTCTAAGCAGTAGCGGCAAAGTTCCTTCCGTCGAATAATCTCCCATCTTTCGTCCCCCTCCACATATCTGGGGCAGGAATCAGAGAAATGCTGACTTGTTGCATCACAGAAGGCGCACTTGATTCCTTTGACGCCATGGTTTACTTGTCCGATTTTCCGATGAGGGAAATCCTGCAAGACCCTCTCCATTTCGATTATGTCTCTTTCAAGTCTGTCCTCCCAGGCCCTCGAGGTCTCTGGCCTGTCGGTCCTTTGGGCCTTAGCAGGTTCCTGCGATATCCTGTGACGTTCTTTCTCTCGCTGTGCATCACTTGACAGCTTTTCTCCTGATCTGTCGATCCTTTGGTATTTAGCCGTGTGTTCCTGAGACTGACTGTAAAGTTCTTTCTCTCGCTGCCTTTCATCACTTGACAGCTTTTCCTCTGATTTCTCGGTCCTTTGGTATTTAGCCGTAGGTACTTGAGACGGGCTGTGACTTTCCCTTGATCTGTTCGCTTGCTCCAACTTTGTTCGACTTGCTCCTTTTCCGCGCGAAGCTTTTCCATGTCTTTTTTCTGTCGCATTATCTCGCCTTCCAATCGATCAATCGCCTCTTGATGTTGACGCTGCTTCAGCGTCAGCTCCTCTGCGCGAGATTTTTCCGATCTCAGCTCAAGCCTCAATTCAGATAATCTTTTCTTCTTTCTTTCATTTTTGTCCAGAAGGGTGCTGACGTTATTTATCAGAGGAGCTGTGGCTGCTCGTTTGAGCTCAAGTTCATCCTGCAGCTTCGACACTTGAATTTTCAATTTTTCAATTGTAGAAATTTCTTGTTTTTGCCGGCTTCCTTTGTTTTCTACATGGTAATCTCTTTGTCTTTCGCTGCTGTCCTCCTGGTCCATCAACTTTTCGATCGTAGAAAATGTTGTTTCCATCATATTTTCTTCTGATTTGTCATCTTCATAGTCATCATCCTTTGTTTTATCGTCATCGGCTTGATCGATTATTGCTATTTCCTCGGTTGGAGCCGTCCAATCCATTGCGTCATCATTTTGCTCTGGGCCTTTTTCTTTTTCTTGTTCCTTGTTCTCAGCTCGACTGCCGTCGGTTGTTTCTTCAACTTCAGCACTCCAGTCCATTTGCCTATCTTCGTACTGTTCTTGGATCTTCTCCTTTAGTGCTCTGTTTTCTCTTTCGAGTCGCTCCACTTGATCTGCCCAGTCGAGCTCTATTTCCTGGATACGTTCCTTCAGTTGTTTACATTGAACTGCAAGCTTTGCTTCCTCGCTCTCATTCACTTGCCTCTCGACTTTGTTTAGATGATCTTCCATCATGCTTATGCTCGTTTTCGTGAAGCTCATTAGGCTTTGAACCATTTTGAGCACTGATTCTGCATTGACATCGTACTCTTGTTTCTTTCCTTTTTCCAGCCACTGGAATCGCCGCCCTCTCGGTATGAGATTAGCCTGTACTTGTCGGTCATAGATCCTATCCGTGAGGATGTACCATGTCCCGAGTCGTAGTATCTTTTCCTTGGTCTGCGTCGCGCTTCGTAGGCATCTGTTGGTCACCATAAGTTGTTCGTTTGTGGATGACTGCAAAAAATTTGCTTCGCCCATCAATGACGTCCATTGTGTTCTCTGCGTCGTCGCTACTTTCTTTTGATTGTGTAGCGATTTTAGGATGGCTTGGAGCTGGGGTTCCAGGAATTCCGCTTGTGGGCTTGCTATTCTCAGGATCGTCTTTAAGAATGTTGTTTCTCCGTCGAGTTCAGCGGCGCTGAGTCTATAACGAAGTCGTGTCAGTCAAGAGAAGGCTAGTCGATTGCAAAATTTTTTTTCCTTTTTTTTTCTTTTTTTTTCCTTTTTTTTTGTTTTTTTTTGGTTGCAGTCGTTATAGCTTCATTTTTGTTGCCCCTCTCCTTTGAGACTTGGTCAGACATGCGCGCAAAGTCCAAAAGCAAAATCTCCAAATGAGTTGATACAGTTTTCGTATCGGCCTAATCATTAACTTTGCTAGGATGATAACGCATCTAAGTCCACAGGTCGAAATGAGCACATAGGTTATTCCTAGCATAGCAATGAGTGTGATTCCTGCGATGAGTACCGTTTTATACCATTGACTGAATACATCAAATAGATGGTAGAAGTCAGGCCACTTGATTTCGGCTGAAGCACTTTCGCGGTTGCTCGTAAGCCACTTGTAGAACATTGCCTCGAAAGTTGCAGTATATTTGAGAATTCCTCCGACTTCAAATGCTGTGACGACTTGTCCGCATGAGACCGAACATTTCATGCGAACCATTGCTTGAGTAGGGCTGATTCTCATGATTGATTCGATCCCTTGTTTGCCGCACGGAGCCGTGAAACTTGTTCTTTCACATATGATTTCTGCTTTACTTGACCGAGAGGAAAAACACTTGATTTTTGCATGAGCCCCCTTTTCGCAGTTATAGCATCCTATCAACTGTGTGTTCTCCACCGTACAGATGTCGTTGTCTACGACGAGGTTAGTGCGTAGATCTTCTTGCAGGGTTACGATTATTTCTGTCGAAAGCATGTTCTGAACGGTTGCCTTGACGCCATGGATTGATTCCTCAAATGTTATTGATGGTAAAATTACGGGCATTCGTCGTTGCAAGTCCTCGAACTGCTTCAGTATCGGCACATTCAGGCAATTGCAATTGGCCTTCGTTTCGGCGGGATTACACGTACACTGCTCAAATATTTCACACCGTAGTGTTCTTGCCGCTTTACTTGTGGGACAGCGTAGAGCGGGCTTTAATTGATTATCCCAAAGAGCTGTGTTATTGCCATTCGATATGAATGAAGACTGGAGCAGAGGTATTGGAGCCATACTCACAGAGCTGAGTGTGAGAGAAAAGCTTTCCCATTGGACTGGTACGTTAGGGGGCATTAGAGCTGTGAACTCGTTTGTTTTCCCACTTTTGGCGTCGAAATGGGTGAAATCAATGGCCACTGTCTGTGCCCATCGATTACAGTGAAAGACCTCGAACACTGTCGAAGAGACAGGTTTCAGGTAAATCCGATAGAAGAGGCATCCGGAGCTCCAGTAAAAACAGTCACACCCCGGGCCGCCACAGGATTCAACGCAGTACGTGTTTCCTGGATACCCGTTCCCCATAGCGAGTTCGGGTATGAGACTGGTACTGTTTATTTGGGCGCATTTGCTTCCGACACACGACCCTACATGCGGACAACGCTTACTGTCTATGATCTCATAACTTGTGTCGCGAGTGAAATAGTCCGTGACCTTTTCGCAAGTGAGAAGTAAGTTCTTCCAGGAGGCCCGTATCTGGTGGATTGTTGTTTCATTGTGCATTAACTTGAAACAGGCTTCCCTTTTGAACGGATTCAACTTGAGCACTTCAGAAACTTGCACTTTACAGATTTGGCCTTTGTCATCATTTGTGCACAAGGTGGATGTGTGGCTGAATATGTTCACCATCTGGCATCCGTGCACAACCCCTACGTGCATACTCATCATCGTAAAAATGGCCAACAAACTGGTCAGTTCGATCGATCTTCTCCTTCTTCTTCTATCATGACTTGGTTGGTCTGGTGTCCTTCTGCAGCACTTGATGAGATGACGTAATAGCAGGTAGATGCTGTATATCAGCAGTCGTACAGGTTTGCCTATTACTAGAGGAACGTATAGTAGAGCGTAGCAACCCGTTGCTATCAAGTATAGAAGCACTGTAAGCGCTATTATCGCTCCAACCGGCCAGCATTCTGGATTGAAGATGAGTGAGGCACAGAAGAGACAATCCACCGATTCGCAAAATGGTGCTGATGGGCACATTGCTTCCATTATGTCTATAGCGTTATCGTCTTTACATACAGCCTTCTTTCTTCCTGCTCACACTCCGAAGTTCTTCCTTCTTCGAAAGACTTGAGCTTGAACTTGATCTTGAGCTTGAGCTTGAGCTTGAGGTCCTTGAGGAACTTGAGGAGGCATGATCTTACGGCAGTAGGTGTGATTTCACTACCACCCGCATCTGCTTCCTTTGTGTTTTCAGACTGGTACTCTTCTAGTTCCAGTGGTACGAGAAGGTTGACTGGCCTGCGAATTTTATGGCGTGAGGGTAGCATGACACCTGCCTCCCTTATGACCCCACACTGGTTTTTGACCAGTTCGATGATTCGTCCAAGTTTCCAGGCTTGACGTGGTTGCACTGGGTCTGCAATCAGCACCAAATCTCCATTTTGTGGTTCGTATGAGGATCCCCGTTTCTGTCCCACGTTTCTCTGATGCTTTTCCCGTAATGACGTTAGGTAATGAGTCTGCCATACTTGCCAAAATTTTTCTACAGCTTTGCAGGAGGATTGTAAGGCTTCTATTGTTTGCCTTTTTGTTCGTAGCAGGACCAGCTCTTCACTTGCTACATAACTTGGATCTTCTTCTTCTTCTCTGGAGAGATCCACAGGGTATTTCATCTGTATTTCGTTTTGTAAAAAGTCTATCGGCCGTAGGGCGACTTCATTTAGGCTATCTGTTTCCATATACAAAAGTGGTCTTGTGTTGAGTAAGGCTTCTATCTCTACGATCACCGTGGTCAGTTCGTCAATTGCCAGTGTTTGATTTCCTAGTGTTTTGTACAGCGAAAGTTTTACTGACTTGATCAAGCGTTCGTAAAAGCCCCCTTGCCATGGGGCATACGGTGTTATATGTTTCCAAACAATCTCTTTATCGCTGAGCTCCTTCATTATACTTGGATCGGTTTTAGCTGCTTCGTAGCTTTCCCTGAGTATCGTTTCCCCCAGAAGAAAGGTCGGCGCATTGTCTGACGTTATTGTCCGAGGTACTCCTCGGCGTCCGAAAAATCTCCGAAGCAGTAGTAAGAACGCTTTGGTTGAGAGATCTTGAGCTATGTCCAAGTGAATCAGTCTAGTTACCGTACAGGTAATTATGCATCCGTAGCATTTTCCCTTGCTTCCTTCAGAAAGAATAATACTGAGTGGACCGAAGTAGTCCAGTCCGACATGTTCGAAAGGTTTTGCCCGTTGTACTCGTTCTTTGGGAAGGTCACTTTGCTCCGGATACTTGAATGGCAAGTTGTTGAATTTCTGACAAGGAACACATCGACGGATGATTCGAGTTACTTGAGCTCGGAGTTTTGGTATCCAATAGTCTTGTCTTACGAGAGACATTGTGTGGTTAATGCTTGCGTGGCCTTTGTTATGGCTTTCTCTTATTATGGTTTCGGCTAACCATGTGTTTTGCAGGATGATCAGTGGCTGTTTTGCACTTCGGCTCATCTTGCTCCTATCTAGTCTTCCATAACAGCGAAGGAGGCCGTCTTCGTCTTTCTTGATGTTCAAATGACGCATTGATCGCCTCATTTCTTGAGTGATCAGTATCTGGTGCTGTCTGATTACCGCTTTAGCGGCTACAGCAATTTCTGCGCCATTTAATTCAATCCCGTCATACAATATGTCCGGTTTCAGCCAACTTGATAAGACTATTGGAAGAGTTCTTCTTTTGTTTACCCTTGTTACCGAAACTCTGACATATCGCAGTACATATGCTACAATGCGCTTTACTGTCACTAACGGATGCTTCTTCAGCTGGTCCAGAGGGATTGGAGTCGTTGCTTGTTGGACCTGTACACTCGCTGCTAATGTTACTTCATCCTCATCTTCACCCGATGTTTTCTGTTGGAATAGAGCAGTGTCTTTCCATTCCTTCGGATTTTCGCACAGAAATTGAGGCCCGGTCCACCAAAAATGGTTCAACAGTTCTGTTTTGGATAGACCTCGAGTGGCACAGTCTGCCGGATTTTCAGATGAGGATACATGAGCAAACCATACTTGACACCCCATTTCCTCTATGTTTTTCACGATTTTCTCAATTTCCGTAAGTCTACTGGTTATCATTCTTCCTACTCCTTTCTGCGGTTTCGATTTGATCCATTGGAGGGCGATTTCAGAGTCTGACAGCACTACTGTCTGCTCTATTTTGACGACGGATTGTAGTTGTGTGATCGCTGCATTTGCAATTCGCATGGCCAGCGTAACTGCATTGAGTTCCATCTTCGGCATCGTAACCGTGGACTTGAGAGACGGTAACTTGCCTTTTGCAAAAAGCAAGTTTGCTTGATCTTTAGAGCGCAAGTAGACACATGCAGCGATTGCTTCTGAGCTTGCATCAGCGAAAGCAATTATGTCATGCTCTGTCTCTTTTGAGCATAAACATCGAGGAATTGATTTTTCAAATCCGTCGGCTTCTCTGATGATTTGTTCCCAGTCTTGCGCAAGTTTTTCGGGCAAAATAACATCCCAGTCAAAATTTTGCTGCCATAGGGAGCGAAGAAAGACCTTGGCTCTGTGGAGCAAGGGTGTCATATAACCCATTGGGTCATAGACGGAGGCTATGGTGCTTGCAACACTACGTTTTGTAGTGTTAGTGCTGTTTTTCATCCGACATCTGATCTCTAGTGCGTCTTCAATTGAATTCCATTTTATCCCTAGCACTTTTGGTGATAGTTCCAGGGACTTGTCTTCGAGGGCTATTACTTGCATTGTTTCCTTATTGTTAGAAACGAACTCCCGGAGGTTCATGTTAAGATCTTGGAACATCCTTTTAGTGGTGCGGTACAACTCGACCGCCTCTTCCTTCTGATCTGTGGATAAAATGAGATTGTCCACGTACAAGTTTTCTTTCATTTCCTTCACTAGCTTGCTGTTTTTGTATTGATCGAGATGGTAATGTGTCGTAGCTGCCAAGAGGAAAGGAGATGGCATAAGTCCAAAAGTAACTCGAGTGAACCGCAGAATTCGGATATTACTTGGGCTAGGTGCTTGTTTGTGGTTCCTCAACCAAAGGCACCGAGTGGCATCGCGATCTTCTTCGTGAAGTCGCACTTGAAGAAATGCCTTTTCCACATCCGATATCAATGCGATGTGTCCTACTCGGAATCTCAGGAGAATTCCGTATAGGAGCGGTAAAATTACCGGCCCTCGATGTAGGACATCATTCAGTGAAGGAGATCCCCTGTAATGGGCTGATGCATCGTAAACGATGCGTAGCTTCGTCGTTGACTTGTGTGGTGTTATCACCGCCTGGTGCGGAATATAATGAATTCGTGTACCAGGTAGTGATTTTTCATTTATCTCCTCCAATATATTCAGACGAAGCTGCTCTTGGAAAACTTCATTATATTGGTCCAGTAGTTTTTCGTCTTTCTGCAGCGAATTCCATAAACTTGTCAGTCTTCTATGTGCGATGGCCTTGTTATCCGGTAATTCATTTGAAGGTCTTTCCATGGCAATCGCACATAGTAACCGTCTTGCCGCTTTTCCACTGTCCTTTTGAAGTTCTCCCACACTTGCTGGTCAACGATCGCCTGTTGTTCTTTTTCAGCCCTTCCAAATTCTTCTGTTCCGGCAGCATCCATTTTCCAGAAACTTTCCCAAAGTTCTTGTTCACTTTCTTTCTCCTCTGTCACTGCCTCTATTGTGTTGACTTGTGCTTGTAGACTCCAGTAGCCATTCCACCTTTCTTCTTCTTGCTCCAGTCTTTCACCTATCGTTGGTGTCCTTTTTGCTTGACCTGTGAAAAGGTATCCCATCCTGGTGGATAGCAAATAGAGCCCAGAAGGAAGACGGATGTGGCTTGTATTCGGTCGTACAAGTGACCACAGCTGGTCAGCTCCCAGAAGAATCTCTGGTTTTACGGGCTTTTTAGACTCATTGACATGTAGACCTTGTTGTTTGATAAACTGAATGTCTCTATCTTGGAGTTCGGGTGATGTGAATGCTTTTGTGAGGATGTCATGAGTGAGCAGGCTCAATAAGCATTGCTGACCTTCCTCATCCCAAGCTTTCAACATCACTTTTCGACAGTCCTTCATAGATACTTGATTCGAACCAAAAGTGTGTAAGTGGAGTTTGGCCTTCCCCATCGTTGGGAGTTGTAATTCCTCAGCGAGTGCTCCATCTATGAATGAGATTTCTGCTCCTGTATCTAGTAGTACTGCAACCTTTCTCAAGGAGTTGCTCTTCGGATCGAGAACTGTTAACTCCCCTGTAGGAAGGAAAGTTTCTTCCAAAGGTTGAGGCATTGAATGAACTTGCAGTATGGCGGTCTCTCTAGTTTCCGCTTCCTCGGAGGTCACATGGTTCACTCGATGAGGTCTTGCTCTTTTCGGTTCTTCTTTCAGTCGCTTCTTATTTGGACCTGCCTTTTCTGGCTGATTTGTAGCGTTATTGGTTAGCTTGAAGCAGCATGATGTGTGGTGTGCACCTTGACACTTAAAGCAGTTACGCTTTTTGCATTGTGAAGTTTGGTGTTGTGCTGACGCACAGATGAGACAAAGCCCGTGCTCTCTCAGGTATTTCGATCTTTCTTGTGGGTTTTTATACCTGTTGCAATCCATAGCTTTATGGTCTTCCCCACAATACATGCACCTGTTTGGCCGCATTGGGAGATCCTTTTTGACGAAGGGTGGTTTGATGCTCTGTTCTTTCCCGGTTCTTTCCAAATAGAGCATCACCATTTCTTCGTTTGAAATTGTTTCCTCCAAAAAATCCAACAGTTTGTTCATAGAAAATGAGTCTTCCGCCAGGGAAGTGCTTCTTTTCAGTAGCACTTTTCTCTGAATAGACGCTGGAAACTTGGAGAGAATTTTTCTGATGCACCACTGGCTATCCACTTGTTCTCCTTTGTGAGCTAGCTGGGCAATTACCACTTGCATTTCTTCAAAGAGAGAACGTTGGTCCTTTATCGAAGGTGATTTCAGTGATGCTTTTTCAAGCTTATGAAGCAATCGTGCAATCAGTTCTTGCGTATTTCCATACTTGTGCTGGAGGAACTTGATTGCTTTCGAATAGTTCTCTGGTGTTACTTGAAACTTTTCGATTGCCTGGTAGGCCTCGCCGCGAAGTGCATTCTTTAGATAATTGAATTTGTAAAGGTCGGGGATCTGCTGCGAATGGACATTGGTGTTGAAGAGTTCCCAAAAGTTGTCCCATTCCCATATATTCCCTCGGAATATTGGAATGGGCAATGCTGGGAGCTCGCTTCCCAACCTTGGTTGTACCGGGGTAGTTCCTTCCGCAGCTTCCAGTGTCGTGTTACTTGCTTCCCCTGCACGAGACGTGTATACCGTGTATGCCTGTCTGCGTGACTGTAAGAGTACTAAGTAGTCAAATGCGGAGGCAAGAGTTTCTTCCGCCTTTGCGGAATACTCCTCGAAGCTGGTTACTTCTTGTTCGTCCAAGTCTTGCAAGCTTGAGACATCTGTGGCATAGTCCATCAAGAGTTTTTCAATTTTCTCCGTAAACGCTGTTATTGCACCTATTCCTTCGTTGAGTTGTCGTAAGCTGTCCCTAAGTACTTCGCCTTCTTGTGAAGTTGCCGTGCGCGTTTCCAACCTTTCATTCTTAAGATGTGTGATGACTGCTTCCAATTTCTTCGTGTAGCGTGTGAGTAAGCGCTTAGATGTACCTAGTCGCATCGCCATTTTCTTAATAACGGTTCAAAACTTGCAACCGAAAATTACAGTTTGGTTCAAAACTTGCAACCAAATTTGCTGACGTATCAGAAGAGTAGTCAAGTATGTCAGTACAGTGAAATCGTTAGACTGACCTGAGTTCGTCGTCTGCCCGATGCACCATGTAGAAAGGAGTTTTCTTTTTCCTCGCCTAGACTAGGACTTGTGCTTTACTTGCTCGTTGCCACGCGGGACTATAAGCTGTGGTTGGAAACGGGCTCACAAATAGGTTTATTGTTCAATTCTTTACATACAGCCTTCTTTCTTCCTGCTCACACTCCGAAGTTCTTCCTTCTTCGAAAGACTTGAGCTTGAACTTGATCTTGAGCTTGAGCTTGAGCTTGAGGTCCTTGAGGAACTTGAGGAGGCATGATCTTACGGCAGTGTGAGCTCTATTTATACAAATGAATATCAGATAAAAGTTGAATCTCAAAATATATTTCAAGCGAAAAGAAACATAGATGATATGATAAACGTTACAAAAGCAAAACAACGCATACTTGAGAAATGTACGATTTCAAAGAACAAAATTAATTCAAATACATGAACAAATACTTGATACATCGGCTAAACAATCGACAAATATATCTTAATTATATACATTGATTATGGATCACTTGGTCGTCGTTGACGACACATGGCAGTATCGAAAAATGTTTTTGGTTGATTTTTTCCGAGGCTCAAAATTGAGGAAAAAAAAGATTGTCCGAAAATGCCAAAATGCCTTCGGCTTTTTTAAATGTAAAACTTGGTATTTCTCGATTATAAGCACCTACAGGAATAAAGTTTCATATTATACTTAACAAGGCTTGTAGTATACAATGACATATGTAGGTGAGGCTGGGGGCGAAGTTTGCCATTTTTAGACTATCTCTTTTTTCTCACTTTCTGTGCTCGGAAAAATTCCTAAAGGCATATTTGAGTACTACTATGTGCCTACTGTATAACGACCAAGTCTGAGTTCCGTACGATCATTTCTCGCAAAAATCAATTTCCAGGAAATAAATTTTTTTTCGATTTTTGCTTCAAACTTTACCTGGATCACGACATAAACGGATCTTTCGCGTTTATCGTGTAGAGCTTGCTTCGCTCTATCGAGTGTTGCCCCAAGCCTGCCAGAAAAACAAAAACAGTTTGATATATTCAAAATATTTACTTTTGGGACAACCTAATACAGCCTTATCAAAGGGACCCTTTCAAGCGAAGTGATTACCATTTTTGTAATCTGCAAGTCGAATACCGCTCCCCTGGATTATTTTTCAGCAAAATTATGCAATATAAAAGTTCGCCCTTCTCCGTAAGCTTACCATCCTTATAGGCGATGGCAAAATTCGGCAAAAATGATGCATTCGCAGAATACAACGTAATCTTCATAATACTGAGAAAATTCACCATCCAAAAGGCAGACACCATCCAAAAGGCAGAAGATGATTGAAGCTTGATGATTAAAGAAGATGAAGTTGCATTACTTATGTGCCTACCAGTGACGTACCCAGGTTTTTCGTTCGGGGTGGGGGGGAGACAAAAATTTTTTTTGAATCAAAGGGCTTGGCGTCAGCAACGCCCTCCGAAAATTTTTTGAAATGCTTTCCAAAATTTTCCGTGCACAATTTTTGACCCAAAATTTCAGAAAAAGGCTGCCGCCACGCCCCCGAAAGATTTTTTTCGCGGGACTAACTTGAATTTCCAAAAATTTTTGAAAATTATTTTAATTATTTATAAATAAAAACAAGTTTTCTGCACATTTTTATAACACATTTAAGCAACTTTCAAAAGTTTTGCCTTACGGGAAACGCTACTGTAGAAAAGCAAGTGCAAGAATTTTGCAATGTTCTCTTTGAACCTGCCTTTTTTGGCATGGCGGTGGCCGGCCATGGAAACTGGCAAGCACTTAGTAGCCAGCATTATATAGAAAATTATGAAGAATACTAGCTGGCGTACCCGGCTCCGGCCGGCCCTGTCAAAACACTATGTCAAAGAACACTATCCCTATTCCTGTACGAACCTTCCCCTGTGCCCACGCCCACATGCCAAATCACTATTCCCGCTGTTTTAGTAATCAGCATGCTCGATTACCCCCCCCCCCGTGCCAACTCCCAGCCCCGCAAGTCAAACTTTGCAAAAAAAATCGATAAAATCGATACCAATTGATGACGAAAAGTAGCCTATGACACCCGCCGGGGCCCGAAGTGTATGTGTGCCAAGTTTGGTCCGGATCGGTTCAGAAATGGAATTTTCTATTCGGAACATACGTACATACAGATAGACAGACAGACAGACAAACAGACATTCAGCTTTATATACAGGGTGTTCCAAAAAATGTATCGAACGTTTGATCGTTTATCTCTTTTCTGAAGAAGTCTTCTTTCTTGCTTCAGATACCAATCTGTAGAGCTGGCTTCAACTTAGATTCGCATTATAGAACGAAACACTCATCTCTCTTCATTACTGTGGGATTACGGCAGAAACTTCAAAGAGGGTTGTAAGCAATGAAAGGCCATATTTTGCCTCAGAAAGGAAACAAAACAGCCTGAAAACCTTTACACCAGGCTAATTAGAATTGCTGATTATAACTGTAAAGTTCCCAACTTATTATGATGGTTTATTGAAGAGTTATGCCAGGTACGAGGTAGCGAGCATTTTTGCAATGTTCCTACAAAGTGCCTTTACACCTTTTAAAAAGCTTCCCAATCTTAAGAATAGTTGAGTATTGAACTCAGCGTCCATAAAAACCTCATTACACAAGTTTTCACAATTTTTTGAACAATTTTGAAACGGTAGCTCTTTCTTTTTGACACCATATGCTTCAAGTTTCTATAGTCCTACAGTAATGAAGAGAGGTGGGTGATTCGTTCTATAAGCACAAATCTAAGTTGAAGCCAGCTCTACAAAACGGTGCCTAAAGCAAGCAAAAGACTTCTTGGGAAGAGAGATATTGACATTAAACGCGTTCGATACATTTTTTTGGGACACCCTGTATAAGATACTATGACCAAAATTAGTCCCTATAATTTTTACCTAGAGATTTCTCAGCGATTGATTGGCACATTTTTGCTTCGTTTTTGTATACGTATTATAGCCTTTCAAATTTCAAAAATTTTGAATTTAATAAGCTGGGAACTTTGCAGTTATAATCAGCGACTCTAATTAGCCAGTGTAAAAGTTTTGAGGCTTTGAGGCTTGTTTCCTTTCTAAGGCAAAATATGGCCTTTCATTGCTAAAAACCCTCTTTAAAGTTTCTACCGTAATCCCACAGTAATGAAGAGAGATGAGTGACTCGTTCTATAATGCAAATCTAAGTTGAAGCCAGCTCTACAAATTGGTACCTGAAGCAAGGGAAAAGACATCTTTAGAAGAGAGATATTAACGATCAAACGTTCGAAACATTTTTTTGGGACACCCTGTATATATGTGGCAGTTTAGAGAGTACAAAGAACCACGCTTTGCTTTGATCACTTTTTTTTCATGCCTTCTTTGCCGCGGTAAGATGTGATGCGACATCCTAAAGCTCACCGAAGGACCTAGTCTTAAAATTTGCCGGAACTTCTGCATATGGCCACTTTTGTGGAGTGGAGTCTGAGGTTTGCACCATTCGATGGCGCAGTTCCCAGTGAATTCAATCTTTAGACGCAAGCGGGCAAGTTCTCCACGCGAAAAGTGCGGGCAAAGTTACGTACTTTCGTGACTCCGTTACGGTTATATCACCATATCTATGCAGAAAGACCATGTATTACTGAAAGATTTGCGTAAACAGTGTGTCCGAAAATCTCTATAAGCGAAGTTTCCTTACAATTCAGCATGAACATTTTGACTAAAATCCATCGGCCAGCTTCAAAGCGTAAAACGAGAAAAATGAAATTACTCGAAGATCTTGGAAAACTTGCTCATAAGGGTTATCTGACCTGCTGAGTACGAAAATCACACTGCTTAGCAAGACAGCTTCATATTTTAGAGTTACGTTGAGAAAAATTTAGAACGACATGATTTTTCCAGAATTCACCAGCCCTTCTAACTCCTTTGGAAAGATGTGTGCGGCTAATTTCTAGGGCCCCATAATCTACAGAAGAAGTACTATCAAAAATCTCTTTCTGAATCTACTGGAAGCAATACGCGCTGCTTCACACCTTTGCTAAAAGACGTCCGCAGAAAGTTTTGAGAATACTAAAATCGAGATATCAAGGACATTCTGCACACCAAAATATTTGCCTTGATGAACTGAGCACAATGCATTATTCGAATTCAGAAAATATCCACTCCAAAGAAAGTTACGGCGAATAGAATCTGGAGATGAGTGATTTCTCCAGAATTTAGCAACGTTTTTTTCTCTTTTGAAAAGAAGTCTGCGGCAGCTTTTATAATCTACAGGGTGTCCCAAAAAAATGTATCGAACGTTTGGTCGTTAATATCACTCTTCTAAAGAAGTCTTTTTTCATGCTTTAGGTACCAATCTGTAGAGCTGGTTTCAACTTAGATTTTCATTATACAACGAACCACTCATCTCTCCTCATTACTGTAGGATTACGGTAGAAACTTCAAAGAGAGTTTTAAGCAATGAAAGGCCATATTTTGCCCCAGAAAGGAAACAAAACAGCCTGAAAACTTTTACACTAGGCTAATTAGAGTTGCTGATTATAACTTTAAAGTCAATTTATTATGATGCTTCATTGAAGAATTATGCCAGATAAGAGGTAGCGGCCATTTTTCAATGTTCCTGAAAAGTGCAGTTACACCGTTTAGAAAGCTTCGTAATCTTGTGAATAATTGAGTATTGAACTCAGCGTCCATAAAAATCCCAATACATAAGTTTTCACGTTTTTTTTTTGAAAAATTTTGAAACGGTAGCTTTTTCCACATTGACTCCATATGTTTCAAGTTTCTACCGTAATTTTACAGTAATGAAGAGGTATGGGTTATTCGTTCTATAATGCAAATCTAAGTTGAAGCCAGCTCTACAAATCGGTACCTGAAGA